TGTGAACATCACCCAGCCCACCTTCAGCACCCTAGCAGTGCCCCAGATAGTGAGGGTTGCTTCCTTTTGAAGAAACAGGCCAGACCAGCTAAGGGAATCTAGAGGGTCACTCCCTATGCACCTCCTTAGCTCAACTAGGGGTAAATGGAGGAGGCACAAATAACTCAGGACTTGCACCTGAGAATGAGGAAAGGGCATGCAAACTTACCTGACAAGAATCCTTTCCTTTTTTGGTATCACCACATATCATCCCTTTCAAGACCAGATCCCTTTTAGATGACAAGGCTGTCTGTATCTTCTCATTACATTCTTGGTAAAGGATGATTTGTTGGTCCACTTCCTGTAGAATCTCTGTTGAATTCATGTCCGCTAATGAAGAAGATAAGCAGGGTGTGAATCTGTACAAGTCAATAGTAAGCCCCCTGCATCTAGTCTGACCCTGGAAGACAGTAGGACAGTTTGTATTGTCCCCATTTGACACATGAGGGATCTGAGGCCCAAAGGTGACACAGGGAAGGGCAGGGTAAAAGGCAAAACCAAGACAGGAAAAGGAAGAATATTTCAGAAGGGGGAGAGGCAAGTCCTTAATATCCTGAGAAATGACAACCAAGCATCTGTCACTCTTGAGTTTTGATAGTAATGGTGACAGGGTGTCCTTAGCATCAGTAAATCAACTTCATGTTTTGGGGGAGGATCACAGGTTCTTGGGCGGGTAGCATGTCACAATCTAGCCTCTTCCCATGGATAGGAAGCTGTACAGCCTCAGGTCCAGAACAGGAATCTCAGGTTCTGCATACACTTCAAGAGACAAGAAGCTCCCTATCCTAAAGACAGCTACTCCCAATGAAAAGCAGCTCTGACTGGCAGACAGTTCATCACCCCCTGAGCAGAAATCCTCTCTGGAGAGAACTCCATGTATCTAGCTATCTCCTTGTTGAGGGGAAAAAAAAAAAACACAAAAATCCCTCAAACCAGCTCACCTTGGTGCCCCCAAAATCTGCATAAGGAGCATACGTTTCAACTCCTGGCTGAGCAACTCCAATTCCCAGGCAAAGTGACTTTCCTAAATTTCTTGATCACCCAAGCCATTCAGGACCCATTACCTCGACTGCTCTTAATCTGCAATCCCTTTACCTCCCTGACTTTCCCTCTCTTTGGCCTTCATTTCTGTTTCAAGGATAAGGCTGCTTCTCCTCTCTCCCCAGTTTGCTTCTGATCTGGAAGTCTTACCTTCTTGTTTTGTTTTGCCCCACCCAGTCACCCAGCACTTGGTCCCAGTTTGCACATGGAAAAGCTCAGAAGGGACGCAGATAGGGTGGATAGTAGAGGTAAAATTCACAGGGTAGAGGAGGCGAAGAAGGGCAATGTCATTTATAACCGTTGCAGCTGTTCTGAACTTAGGATGGACAATGATGTTCCGGATGGGGATCACCAGACTTGTCTTTTGTGTACTGAGATGCCGATCTCCCATCTTCACGCTGTACTGCAAATGACTGTGGGAGAGAGGACATGCTCCTCACCCTGGGAAGCGTCCCTCCTGCCCTTCCCATCCGAGATGGTTCCCAGCATGACCCCAACCTTCCTCGCCACTCTCCCCAACACCCCATCTCTAGCACCAAATCTTCTCATTTTGGGTCTCCCTCCAAATCCTCTTAAGCACCTTTAGTAAAGAAAGGGCAGTACAGAAACCTTCCCCTTTCCACCGAATTTTTTTTTTTTAACCAGTTCGCCGGGGTGGTGGGCCAAGGGGTGTTGGAGGAGAGCAGGGCCGCCTGCAGGACCCGGCATCTCCATCTGCCCCTCACCTTATGATGCAGTGCGCGGCGGTCAGCACCCACTGCGCGGTGATGAGAGAGCCTCCGCACACGTGCTCCTCCCTGATGCGCACGCTCACCTGCCAGGGCCACTTCCCCTCCTCGGCGTTAAAACCTCCAATAATCTTCAGGAAGGGCCGGCCACACACTAGACCAGGATATGCAGGAAGAAGGACTGGAAGAGTCAGGTCCCGCCTGCGAGCCCGTGCCCGGCGACCCCTGCGTCCCAGTGCACCGCAGCCGGCTCACCTGGGGCGTGCTCACCCGAGGAGAAGGCCAGCAGGTGCGGCAGCACCCCGATCGGGCCGTGCGTGGGAGCCACCTGGGTGCGTGTCTGCATGGACGCGGCGTCTGTGTGCGCCACCGACTCCCCTGTAGGCCCCTCCTGACCGCTCGCTCCCGAAACCTCGCCGCCCGTGGGCCCAGAGGACGTGAGGGGCGCGGCGGATGCGTAGGCCTCGCCGAGCTGCAGCTGCAGGAGCAGGAGCCAGGCCAGCAGGCCCAGGCAGGCGCCCCGGGACGCCATGGTGCGCGAGCCCTGCGGCGCCCCCTCGCGGCCGGGTTGGCTGTCGATGGCTACCACCAGGCGCACGCGGCGGCAGCGGGTGGGGTAGGACCACGACAAGTGGGTGTAGCTTCCTGAGTTTCCCTCGACCTCACTCCGTCTGGACCTAGGGGCAGGCGCTGCTGGGGTGGCAGTCCTCGATGGAGACCGCTGCCTAGGGTCGCGCTCCAGACGTCCAGCCTGGATTCTTGTAGTTGACATATGGTCCCCAGGGAGGCAGTGTTGAGATGGTGGAACCTTGAAGAGGTGGGGCCTAGAGGACGTGCTTAACTCATTGAGGGTGCTTCTCTTGGAAAGGATTAGTGTAGCTCTCATAGGACCCCAGTTAGTTCACATGAGAATCATTTTAAAAATAACCTGGCCCTGAAGTTTCTCTGGCTTCCTGTCACCATATGATTCCACCCTCTTGCACATGTTTCCCACCATGATGCAATCTGTTGTGTTGTGATATAATAGCCAGGAGGCCCTCATCAGAGCTGAGCAGATACTAGCACTATGATCTTGAACCTCCATATCTGTGAGATAAATATCCTTCCTTTACAAAGTACCCAGCCCCCGGGTATTTTGTTATAGTAATAGAAAATAGACTAATACAGCAATTGCAAAGACAATTGGATACCATCCCCCTTCCCTGTGACCACTCATAAGCTACTCATTTCACTCCAATTGTAGCAGGCTGCCGTCCTCATACCCAGATCTAGTCCAGTGGCACAAATATTGTGCCCAGAATGGTAGGCAAGCTGAAAAAATAAGTGCTCTGCAGCTCTGTCTGAGGTGACTGAATGTATTTGAAAGAAGAGGGTTAGGATTAGTTCACACTAAAGGTATTGCTTAAAACTATAGAGGTCTTATTGGTGAGCAATACAGAGCTCTGTGATACTAGCAGAAAAAAAGAAAAGTGAAATAGCAACCCGCCATTAGCTTAACAAAGTGGAAGAAACCACCAAGAAAATTTCTCCTATGCTCACAATTAGCTTTAAGGGCCTAAAACACTGTACATGCACTAGGCTGCACCAAATCAGGAACAGAAAGTGGAGTCTATTTAAATGCATTTCCCAAGCTACACAGGGATCTGCAAAAGGCAGAAACTTTCCTGGTTCAATGGATTTAAGTACAACCTTTCACCAAAAAGTTACTCTGACCCAGGGGTGACTCCTAATAAGCCAGGATTAAAAATAAAATCACACTCATCCCTAATGTACTGAAAGGCTGTGCACAAGCCCAAGGCTGTGTCTTCTCAGGAGCAAATGCATGGGGACTGTCTAAGCCACTAGTTCCTGGCTGAACCTGTGGGGAAATAGTAAATTCCCAAGGCTGTGAAAGCAGAATTCATGCTGCACATATATCCAATGACCGATAGTGAAAATAAAACTGACTAGAGGCAAGCATCCACCAATGAGTGGCTTACACTCACCCATAAATTAACTCCGGAATGCCAGGCTAGAACATAAAAATAAGCACAAGGAGGGGTCGGGTCTGAGCAGGGATATTAGAGACTGAAAATTGACAGGAAAATAGATAACACAGAAATATCTCACCCTAGACACTAAATAAATAAGCAAATGACCAAACAAACAACAACACAAGTCAGCAAGGAGGAAGGCAGAAATCACTGTCTGAATTTGCTACAATATATTATCTAAGATGCCTTCTTTTCCATTAAATATATATATCAGGTAAAGAAATAGGAAATTTTACCAATTCACAAGGGAAATATTGCTGGTAAAGAATCTGTCTTTGAGGGGTCCAGTATATTGGGCATAGTAGATAAAGACTTCAAAACAGCTATTTCAAGTACATTAAAAGAGCAGGGTGTGGTGGCACAGGCCTGCAATCCCAGCAGCTCGGCTCGGGATGCTGAGTCAGGAGGATTCTGAGTTCAAAGCCAGCCTCAGTCACTTAGCAAGACCCTAGAGCAACTTACAGAGATCCTGTCTCAAAAATATAAAAAAGGACTAGGGATGTGGCTCAATGGTTAATCATACCTGGATTCAATCCTTGGTGTAAAAAATATATATATGTTAAAAGAACTAAATAAAAGCATATTTAAATGATTAATAGAAGGTATGCTAACAACAAAATCAAAGAATACATAAAGAGAGAAGATTTTAAAAGAACCAATTTAAAAACCTTTATAAAACCAAGTGGATGCCAAGCACAGTGGCACCTCCCTGTAATTCCAGCTTCTCTGGAGGCTGAGGCAGAATTGCAAATTCAAGGTCAGCCTCAGAATTTAGCAAAACTCCATCTAAAGGAAAGAAGGTCAGTCTGGGGATACAGCTCAATGGTAGAGCACTTGCCTAGCATGTACGAGACCTGGATTCAATCCCCAGTACTGGGGGTGGAAATGGTGACCAGAAGGCAGTGGACAACTTATTCAAAATGCTGAAAGAAAAAACTGCCAATCCAGAATGTTATATCCAGTAAAGTTGTTTTTCAAAAATGAAGATGATGGAAGTGGAATCATTACTCCCATCTCTACAAAAATACAAAGGATTAACAGAAAACATAATGAACAAATAATATCAATACATGGACAACCTAGATGAGTTGGAAAAATTCCTAGAAGCATAATCTATCAAAACTGAATCAAAAAAAAATAGAAGCCAGGTTCTTGGCACATGCCTATAATCCCAGTGGCTCAGAGGATGAGGCAGGAGGATCAAGAGTTCAAAGCCAGAGCTGGGGTTATAGCTCAGCAGTAGAGTGCTTACCTCATACATGTGAGGCACTGGGATTGATCCTCAGCACCATATAAAAATAAATAAATAATTTTTTTAAAAAGAGATCAACACCAGCCTCAGCAAAAGCAAGGTGCTAAGCAACTCAGTGAGAATCTGTCTCTAAATAAAATACAAAATAGGGCTGGGGATGTGGCTCAGTGGTTGAGTGCCCCAGAGTTCAATCCCTAGTTCCCACCCCCCCCCCCCCCCAAAAAAAAAAAAAAACATAGAAACTCAATCTTGGTAGGTTGTTTAGGGTCCAGGAATTTATCTGTTTCTTGTGGATTATCCCATTTAGGGGCATATAATTGTTCATAATAGTCTGGTAGGGATGTAAAATGGGACAGCAACTGTGGAAAAGTGTGGTGGCTGATCATGAAGAATTCCCATGTGATCCAGGAGTCCCACTGCAAGGCATATACCCAGAAGAATCGAAAACAGGGATTCAATCAGACACCAGACACCTGTGTTCACCTCCCTAAAACCTGTGAATATATTACCTTACATTGTAAAGGAAGCTTTGCAGGTGTGATTAAGGATCTTGAGATGGGGATAGCACTCTGGATTATCTAGCCACTTGAGCCCTGCAAAAGGGAGATTCTTTCCTTTCTCTAAGCAGAGGGAGATATAGCTACAGAAGAAGGATCGTAGAGATGCAATGTTGCTGCCTTTGAAGGTGGAAGAAGGAGCCATGAGCCGAGGAATGCAGGTGACCTCTAGAAACTGTGAAAAGCCAGGAAATATTCTCCTTTGGACCGCCAAGAGACTCATTTTGGACTTGTGACCAAAAGAACTGTAGGAGACTGTGTTGTTTTGAGCCGCTAAGTAGTAATTTCTTACAGATATTGTCATACTGAAGAAAATGCTGAAGCAATTAAAATAATACAATAGAGCAAACCTGTCCTGAAATGGAATGATCTGGAAGACACACAATTAAGTAAAAAATGAAAAATGATAAACGATGTGCAAAGTGTGATCCCATTTGGATAGCAGCAAACTCATGTTATATTCATAAATATGTATCTATACCCGGGACCCAGTGATTGGCAGGTGTCTTAGGTGGTTGCTGCCCAAGCAGAGATTCCTCCTTCTATAAGTACTTGCCTCCCTTAGGTGCTCACAGATCTCTGAGAGGCCCAAGGTATTTCCAGATGCCACCCCACCATTGCCTAACTGTAGAGATACTGTTGGGTCAGGAAGAGCAGGTGACCCAGTGTCAGCTGGGAGATTCAGGAGACATTTATGGGGACCTCAGAAGAAGAGACTTCCTCATTCTTCTCAAGAAGCTTCTAGCAGAAATATCCCATCCTCCATTCTTCTGAGAGCAAATGGAAATAGATGGGCTCACTGGGGTGGTGCAGATTTTCCTTGAAGCTCACAGGGGCCAGACTATAACCACATTGATCCCCAGGAAGACACAGCACAGAGGGGTGGAATAGACATCCTGGGTTACCCACCTGCCCCCCTGGACAGCCCTGGGACAATCATCCACCTGTCTCCTTTACTCTCAGAGCCACCTGACATCAGCATTTTGTTCCTTGTGACAGAACATCTTCTGATGGACACAGAGTCCACTCCATTTCCCCTTGTTGGAGCCTATGTGTGGCCCTCTGAGTCCCCACACCCACATCAAGGCTCAGTCAGGCAGTCAGGGGCCTAAGCCTCTGCCCCGATCCTGGGGAAGCCTTTAGGCTCTTTTGAAAACTGAAACTCTCACTTTATGAGAGAAGGAAAGGGAAGAGAAGAGATGGGAAGGGAAGAAAAAAGGAGTGAGAAGGGAAAGAAGATAATCAGAAAGGGAAAGGATTTGCTGAGTAGAAAGGGGGGATAGGAGGAGGAGAGCAGGGGAAGGGGGAGTGGGGAAAGGAGGGGAGAAGTAGCTGATGAAGAGAGAGTGGGGAGGCAAGGAGGGGGAGTACCAAGGGAAAGAAAGGAAGAGGCTGAGTTATATATGAGCAGGAAGACACAAAATACATCACTTGCAGAAGATACAACCTCCTTATAAATCAAATGCAAATGAACCTCCCCCCAAATTATTAATAAACCGAGAGGGCTGGGGAAAAAGATCAGTGTACAAAATCAAACTTAATACTCGAAAGCAATAACAATTTAGAAAAAAAAAAAATCCAGTATCAGTATGAGGTCTTGTGCCATCTAGCTGGGTTTCTCTGACTGCTCTCCTTGTTCGCAGGACTCCAGCCACACTGGCCTCCTTGATAGGCCTCACCAGTTCCTGCCCCCAGGACTTTGCACTGGCTCTTTCCTTTGGTCCCAGATATTCAAGCAAATAATTTCCTCACCTCCTGGGTCTGTACCAGAATTTGTAAACTTTGTGTCTGTAAAAAGCCAGATAGTAAAATAGGCTTTGTGAGTCAAGAGACAAAATTACAACTGTCATGGAGGTACTTATATACCAAGAGAGAAAACAAATTTCCATAAAACTTTTACTGATGGGATTCAAAATATAATAAGATCCGA